ATGGAATGTAGTACACTTTTCAATGGTACTTCACTTCAATATCTGGAGTTAAAGTTTTGAATACAAGACCGATGATGATCAAAGATACTTTGGTCTGCAAAGAGCGCAAGCAAGGTTTTTCCTTAAAAGTGGAAGGCTTGGCAATTCTTATCAAGTTGAAAAAGGAATGACGATGCATCGATGTTGCAATGTAGTTTGATTTGTAAACTTAAAAGATTACAAAATGAAATAGCATCATGGAGTAATCTGGCAGTACTATATTAAGGAAGAGATAGACGAAATAGATTCTACTATTACATTACAAAAATCAAACTCAAATCCTCTTTTATAATATTAGAAACTTGTTGTTCCATTTCCATATTCTCTACCACTACTTCTTTAATTTATAAATGTTACATTATATCGATAATTTTTAAAACGTGTTATTCTCTTGGTCAGAGTAAACTTCTAGTAATTATTGGTAAGCCTCATAAATATTACTCCGTATGTAACTTATATAGAGTAATTTCGTGTAGCATATTCCTTAATTTGTTATCTCGTGCATCGCATAGGTCAAAGACTAGTTAATTGATAATTTGGAACAGTCCTTACAAACTTTGTCATCTTTGACTTTTCAAGTCAATGATGATAAAGTTTGGACCATGATTTTAATTAGTATAATATTATGAAAGTGATAAATTTTATACTTTTATGAAAGTACTTTTAATAAAGAACGTTTTCATATAATTTTTTATATTATAAATAATTTTCTATAACAATATATAATTGATCAAAGTTAAACATGGTTGACCAAAAAAATTAAAGATGACAAAATTTTATGGAATGAATTGAAGTGAGTAATATACTAATATAATTTGGATTATATCTAGAATGTTTATGTTACTTCCCCGGCCCTAATAAATGCTTCCGTTTTAATTTACGGTGTTTGAGTGACAACAACGTTAATTAATTTGTGTTAATAATAAAATTATTTATAGTAAATAAAATTTATATATTCAGAAACTACATTAAAAAATTATAAAGTCTCAAAAAAAATCAAATATGATAATAGTTAAAAAAATTAAAGAAAAGAACAACAAATCCATATAAAGGCACTCATGTTCGTTAACCCTGCAACAATATACACTCATAATGCAGTGTGACTACTCATGGTACTCAAAATGGGTCTGGTTTATTAACCAGACACCAAAAAGGAATTATTAAATTTGCCGGTTTTTTCAGCCACCGGTAAGGAGCCAAGTGTAGAAATTGTTTCGCTTTCACCAGCCACCGTATAAAAAGCAATCCATTCAATCCCATCTTACTGGATCGACAGTGTTCAGGAGGGGGCGATCGGCCTCTATATTGATATACAGGAGAAATCCTGATTCATGATGCTAAAGAAGCCAGTACAAACCTCTTACTAGCACACAAGAACACCCGACCGATCAGGAACGAAACTATCATATGGTTAGGGGGCCTTGGCCCCTCCCATCTTTTTATTTTTTAAATCACGGGCTTGTGATTTTTTGCCCCCCCCCCCCCCAATCTTGTGTTTCATCTAAAGGCACGTTTGGTTCGAGGTGATCATGTATGAAGGTCGAAAACTATTGTCCAGAATGTGAGATACATTCGTTTAGTTCACGGGTTTGAAGATTTTCGGGAATGTTACATGCCCAAATACAGAATGTTCGTGAGATTACCCGTAATGTCAACCCCCCCCCCCCCCCTTAGGTTATGTCACATTCGTTCTTAGTTACTACTTACTTATAATTTTTCTGGTAGTCTGGCGTCCCCGCCCTATATCTACCAGCTAAACACCATCTCCGGTCATCTCAGCTTGCCCGTTGTGGACAATTTATTTAGGCGGTTTCAATTGAAGTTTGTGGATGAAAAACGTCAAATGGAAGTTTTCAACTCGTGCTCAGTATGGACACGTGTAATATTGAAGTTAAATTACCACGGTTGACTGAAACAAATTTCATCATTTGCAATTGAGAAATGGTCATAAATAGGACTAAAATTAAGTTGATGTAAGCAAATAGGACCTACATCTTTTTAATCCGTAAGTAAGACTCATTTAATGTGTTTTGACTAATTTACCCCGCAAATATCTCCTCCTATCACCTCTCTTCTGGACAACCACTTATTACGCCGATATGACTTCCTCCTCGGCTCTTCCCAACGAAGCATAAAATAGAAAAGGGGACATATGAGTCTAAGGCGGCGCTCCAGCCTCCAGCTACGAAAACTTATGGCGGAGATTAACTTTAGGAACTTCAATCGCCGGAAAAAAAGGCCACCTAGAAATCACCTCATCGCCGGACGCCCGTCGGACTAGATGGAGGAGCTGAGGCATAGTAGCGCTGCAGATGTGGCACCAAAGAGAAGATCCTCCGCCGCCGCTGGCCCAACGAAGTAAACACAACAGCGTGGCAGGCGCAGTGAAAGGACCTGGTTGTTGGTGAAGCTTCTTCTTCATTGTGGATCTGCGATCAATTGACGCTGCAAATTACTTTTTATATAGATGATCATTGATATGCTTGTAATTTCCGTATGTATGTTTACGTTTTTAGTTAGTTTTAGTTGTTTAATATTTTGGAAATTACACACTTTTGGTGTAATAGTTATGTTTGTAAAATAGTTGTAATATGTTTAGATTAGGTTTATTCTGAGCTTAAACAGTTTCAAGATCAATCAAATGATCATTGGTGAAGGAAGGTGCAAGAGTACAAGACAAAAAGAAGGCAAAATCTTGATTTTTGACCTGTAGCCGGTCGAGTGTGCCTTGTACTCAATCGGGTACCAACTTGATTTTCAATCAGATCAATTAGGGAACAAAGGGGCGTGCAGGGGAAGATTTGGCCACGATCAGTTGTCATACCCGATCGGGTACACCGACACACCCGATCGGGTATGCCTTTTATTTCTACCCTGGAATCGATTGAGTAAAGCTCGAATTCAACATTCTGCAAATACCCGATCGGGTACCCTATTTGTACTCGATCGGGTACCCGAGCTGCACTCCCAAAAAGCCTATAAATACACGTCCTTCCCTTCACAATTAGAGACGAATTCCTTTACACTTCTAAGCTCAGTTTAGAATAGCATTCTTTATATTTTTCTAGCATGTTTAGTCTCCAAATGAGGAGCTAAACTTCCAATTCTTGGTGTTGCTCTTGAAGCTTGTTGATTATTAAAGTTGTGAGTTATTTTCTTAAATTTCTTTCCTTGAATATTAATTCTTCTTTTAAATACTATTTCTATATCAATGTTGGGGAGTGTTACTAAGATGACAATTAGTTAACATCTTGACATTAGTTATAGTAATAGTTATTTCTTCCTCTATGTTAATATTGAGGAGTGTTACTAAGATGACAATTAGTTAACATCTTGATATTAACTATAGTAAGATTCATCTTCTTTAATATTCTTCCTTGAGTATTAATTAATTCCTATTCATATTTCATATTAATATCTTGAACATTACTTAAAGGATCAACTAGTTTTGTTTCATATATTAAATATTACTAGAAACGATCAACGAACCGATGGTTAATCGTTGATGATTTCACAAGTAAGTAACTTCGGTTTATTAATGCACGGTCGTGGTTAATGAACGTAAGAGGGGTTAATTTTGTTGGTTAAACCGAAATCGTTGTGTTGAGGTTATCAATCTCAATTGATTTCATCAAGGAGTCAAGAGATTAAATGATACTATCATGTCGGTATATGACGGTGTTCTATACTTGACCAATAGTAAGGGTTATTAATGAGCGGTCATTGTTAATAACTACCCTCGATGAATTGGATATACTCCTCGATTGAGTATTCGAGAGGGGATAAGTTATAGATATAACAATGATCGACTAAAATATAGAAACAAGTGGAAAGTAGCAATGCCAAGTCCTTTTTATCTTTGAATTTAATCTCATATAAGTCGTTCATCTTCGTATTAAATTAAATTAAATCACTCAATCCCAAAACCCCCCTTATCTACTAGTTCTACTAAAAAGAGAATTATTTTTTTCCCTGTGGATACGAACTCTACTTCACTATACTACGTATTAGTGCTAGTATTGAATTTATTTTGACGCACCGTGACAAAGTGCTCGTCAATCATGGAGATTCCTCGAGATAGCGAGTGAAATTGTAATTTATGCATCTGCTATTCACTTTTACTTCTTTCTTCTTTTTATTTTGTTTTGCAATTTTCATTTTCTCTAAAATTTAAGTTTTGGAGTTGTATTGTTTATGATCTACTCTGCCTACTCATATGTTGCAATAGATCTGCTGGTGGGCTGTTCTATAACTCTATTATTGTTATAAAAAAATTACGTAGTATCATCCCTTCTTTTCCAGTTTTTGTTTAATTTTACTTGCCATTACAATATATTTTAACTTTTGTCATTACAAACCTTTTGTTTTGTTTGATAAATTTTCAAAAAATTAAATCATTAATAACATAATGATATTGTATATTACAATACATTCTGATATAATAACATTATAATACATGGTTAATATGTACTGTTCTATAAGAGTAATTGACATTATTCTGAACAATGTCATTATTTTGAACAATGTCATTTTAATAATAATTGACATCATTGTTGACATCATTGTCACCGATATATTGTCATTGTCACGACAGTGTCACATATTTTGACAATGACACTCTCATACAATAATATTGTGATCTAATGACATTATAATACATTATTCTTCTATAAAACTAATATTTTATAGTTTTAGCATTATTTTTAACAATTCATTTTTATAATGAATGACATTGTTATGAAATTATCATTGACATTTCCACGTTTTTATGTCATTGTCATGACATTGCCACAATTTTTAAGAATGTCATTTTTGTAGCATTGGCATAATTACGATAGTCATTGACATTGCCATCTTTACAATGTCATTTTTATAACATTGTCATGATTACGACAATCATTGACATGTCATTTTTACAATGTCATTTTTATAGCATTGACATAATTACGATAGCCATTTACATTGTCATCTCCACAATGTCATTTTTTATAACATTGACATTTATTTTGAAATGATGACATTATTATATTACTAATTACTTGACAATGATGTGTTATCTATGACAGTCGCACCATTTTAATATAATTTTGATAATATTAACATTATTTATTGTGTTAAACGCATAAGATTGAGAAGTCAAATTAGGAGACTGAAGGGAAAACTATCAAATAAGCCCCTCTACTTTTTAAAAAAATCAATTAGACCCCCCAACTAAAATTTCACTCAATTAAACCCTCGAACCTCTTTTTAAAATAGCAAATCCCCCCTTTTAACCGATAGCTCCCAAATCCCGGTTAGATTGCACATGTGGCGTATGACATGGCTTTTTTCCTTTCTCTCTTTTTCTTTTTCTCTTTCTTTTTCATTTTCCTTTTCCATTTCTTTCCTTTCCTCTGCTTCTTCACTCCCGCACCCTTCTTCCCTGCGCACACCTGCACTTATTTTCTTCCTTTCCCGTTCTCTTCTTTCCCTACTTCTCCTGCCTCACTTCACCCTTCTCACCTTCCTCCGCCTTCACTCCAGCTCCCTACTTCTCCTCCGTCGACCACGGTGGGACCGAATTGAAGCTGCGGCAGATCTGTAAAAGGCCGGCCTTGAGGTCTCACGGAGCACCGTCTCCGAACCGGAAGCTTCAACGGAGCACCTTCACTGACTTCCAAGCCATCCAATCGAGGGAAGAGGACGACAGACCCAGCGAGGAGGCGTCCGCCACTCCGACGTGCGATGGATACTCCAGAATCTCCGAAGACGAGGGTTTGTCTCAAGCAACGGTGTGAAGGGACGACGACCGGTCGGTGGGAATTGGGAGAGGAAAGAAGAAAATGGGAGAAGAAAGGGTGAAGGAGGAAGGGGGTTGCTGGAAGCCTGTTACGGGCGTAGGAGGAGGAGAAAGGGGAAGGACTAAAGCCAAGGAGAAGGGAAAAAGAAAGGAAAAAGAAAATGGAAAAAAATGAAAACTGCCACGTGGGTCACCACGTGTGCACAGTAACCGGGTAAGCAATTCATTACCGGTAAAAAGGGGAGATTTGCCACTTTAAAATAGGTTGGAGGGTTTGATTGAGCGAAATTTCAGTTGGGGGGTGTAATTGATTTTTTTTAAAAGTATGGGGGCTTTTTTGATAGTTTTCCCGAGACTGAAATTTTGCCGGAAGAAACCTGCATCCGGACCTGCGATGATGGATTTCGTATGTCGCCTGATGCATCCCCCCATATAATTTATATGTACAGATTGTATCACTTTTATTCGTCAAAGGGCAACTGCATTATGGTAGGTGTAAAATTGAAACCTAGGGTTCCCGAAGACATTAATGGGATTACCCTTGACCCGCAACCCGATTGGAGCTTTGATGCTCTGTTATTGGAGCTCAGTTCAATTGAAAGGAAGGTTGCTGCATCTCCAAAGTTTCCAGCATATACCAAGATATGTTCTCGGGAACATTATGATTCAAAGAGTGGTGCTCTGCGGCAGGGTTTTGTTATGAAGGCGCCAAGTGATTGTGAAGATGAGGTTTCTGAACAATCTGTCACTCCAGGCATGCAAATTACTTGTGATAACCTTTATTCAAGGGAACATTATGCTTCAAAGAGTGGTGCTCTGCGGCAGGGTTTTGTTATGAAGGCGCCAAGTGATTGTGAAGATGAGGTTTCTGAACAACCTGTCACTCCAGGCATGCAAATTACTTGTGATAACCTTTATTCAAGTGATGGTCAAATTTCCGAAGATGAGGCATCTTTTGAAGTAGACCTGCATCCAATGGAAAGAGTTGGGTGGGTGGAAGGCGCTTTGTCTGCGCTAACTTGTGAGCATCGCCTTAACGTTATGGAAAATGTGAGAAACAAAATATCAGCATTTCAAACAGCTCTGTTGGATGAGCACCATATATTTTCATCTAAGCTTCAAATGGTTGAGAAGGATTATGAAGCAGTATCGAAAATAGATCGATGGCTTGACATGCAGTATCAGCGCAAAACTGCAGAAGCACTTGAAGATCACTTGATATCGGTACGAAGGGATCATGAACATAGATCCCAAATAGAAGAAAGGAGAATAAGACATGATGCAGCCCTTGAATTGGCTGAAAGAACAGAGAAGGCTTTTAAGGAAGAGATATGGCTAGAAACAAATAGAACAGAGCAAGAGGTACAGCCTAAGGTAATAGAGGATGTTGGAAAGAAAAAGGAAAAAACAGTAGAACTGGAAGCTCAGAGAAAAGACGTTGAAGAGGCTGCAGAGGAGAATACCTCTGAGAATGTTAAGAATATTGCTACTGGCCATCACAAGGTCTCAGACCAGGCAGCGGAGTTCGGACAGAATGTGCATAATTCATCACAATCAGCAAGTTCAACACACTTCGGGTCAGCTGAAATGACTAATCAAGAAGTATGCAAGTCCCAACTTGAAAGCATGGGCAAAGGGATTTCCCAGTTTCAGCTACTAGTACCAGGACGTAGTATAAAAGCTGCAAAAAACGCATTGGATATAGAGAAGGAAAGATCTATGTTGTATATGGAATTAATTGTAAAGAACGAGGCGTTGGGGTTAGGCACTAAAACGGAATATAAAAGACATGAGATTGAAATCCGTAGAAGGTTAAGAATCATATCAGGTTTGGAACAAAATGTAAGGGCCAAAGCGGACAATTTGATTAAGTTAATAGATTATTCACCATATCCTACCATAAGCATTGCAATCTTTGCAAAAGAGATTATCAACCGGTATGTGGTTCTTGCGCTTGGAAATTCTAACAGTATTCCTTATCAGGGCCGGCCCAGAGCATGTGCAGGAGGTTCGATCGCACAGGGCCCAAAAAAAATAAAGGCCCAAAAAAATTTATTATTAGTCTATAATTATTATGACTAGTGTTCGAAAATGCTGAAACAAGGCTCCAAAGCGGGCCTTCCAGTGACTCAGTGAGGTGTTTATAAAACACCTCGGCGGCCCAAAAAACAGGTGCTGCAATTTATTTAGGCTTCTAGCCTCTTGTGACATGAGAATTTCATAAAGGAGAAGGCTTATTTATAAAAGAATAGTGCTAAGAAACTTTTCTCTCTAACCGGTGTGGGAAATCAAATGAAGACCAAGGAACAAAAGTCCTTATGTTACGCGGTATTTTTTTGGGATTTAATATTAGACTTGTATATTAAAAATATTCTACAAAAATTAAAATAAAGTGTATAGACAAAACGTCTATTCACGTCTCAACCTGGTCTAGGCTTGAAAGACTTAGCCTTGTTGTCTTGCGCCTTTTAGACATTGATTATACCTCATTTAAAATATGTTTATAGAATAACTCCTTTAAAATAAAGTGTATTTTATTAACGAATACATTTATTTTGACTGTTTGAATGAGTTAATTAGTAACTTATAATTTGACAAAAGTATTAGTCATTTGTTACTTATATAGTGTACAGTGTATTATTTATTTTTTACTTCATTAAATAAAAGGCCCAAATTTCATTGTTGCACAGGGCCCCTGTTTTGTTAGGACCGGCCCTGTTCCTTATAGCTATGGCCGTGTAATTGTTCTTGTTACATCTCAGGTTCCTCTTGCTATGGATATTATCCTTGCTGAATTGAACAAAAATTGCATCTACACAGTTCCAAAGCATTTAATGTACTCTCAGTCAGACTTCTTGAACCAAAGAGCTTACTGTATAGCTATTGGATATCAAGTAGAAGAAGATGGGAAGATTGAAACTGATAGTAGTTACCTAAATCGGTTATGTGCCTACATGAAACTATACTGGGCTATTGTTCAGACTGAAGTTGAAGGGTTCCAGAACATGCATGGGCATCGAGAAGGTTGGGCATGGTTGGCTAGACTCTTAAATGCAGTTCCGGCAAACGTGTACACTGTTGTGGCCTTAAACGCTTTTCTTGAAGTTGCTGGTTTTGGGCTACACAGAAGATATAAGCATCATTTTGAGAAGCTATTGAACATCCTCACTAGTAGAGACTTCTTGAAAGCTTTGGACGAAGGTCTTCAGTCACACATAGTGGTCACTGAGCTCCATAGTTATTTTGAGTCAAAGGGTGGACATCTAGCAGATCACCTACTTTCAAACACTGCTGTAATAAGTATAAACACTTGTGTTGCATAGAGTTGCTTCTAAGTTGTTACAGTTGAAGATTGAGGCTTTTGATAAAAATCTGAACTTCTTAGGACTTGTTTATGTTTTTAATCATTTGTGTAGAACTGAGATTCAGACGTGTTCGTGTATGAATACACAACAGAAAATGTTGTAGTACCACTATTCTTTCAATAAGATACAAATAGTTTTGGATTAAAAAATTAAAAAAAATTAAAAAAAAAAAACTGATTATAATTTTTCTTCCAAAAATACCCATCCTCACTTAATTAGAACAAGAAACATCCCAGAACCCTTGAACCGTATTAGCTTTCTTCCGTGACCACTTCTACTCAATGTTTCTTCTTTTCATTTCAAAAGTGTCTTCTAAATTACGTAAAATCTTTATCCTTTTTCCAACTATTTGTACATGTATGTTCTTGTAGTTTATCTTTAATCCTCTGTTAATTATTTTTACTTAAACCAAATTATTTACTAATGTTCACTAATCTTTGTCATTTGTGCAATTAAATATACTTTGCTTAAAAATATATCAATTGGTTTTAATTGGCATTATTATTAAGATATATTTCACTTTTTCTTTAACTTTAATTACTTTAGTTGTAGGTGATAATAAATTTATTGTGTTAAGAGAAAAATATTTGAAGAGCATTGAAGTCATTCACCAAATAAGTCATGTAAGACACCACTCAACCAAATAAACTAATGTCACATTCCCTTAGTCTTAACCAAACACAAAAGGGTTCAAATTTTGTGCATTTCTATCAATCTAACATACCTAGTAATCTAACATTCTCATAGTAATCTAACATTCTTTGAACCCAACAGGCCCTAATAGTATTGTAGGGCAAAAAAGTTTTATACTCCTTTGTAATACATTTATAATTTTTCAATACCACTTTAAATAAAATATCATATCTATAAAGACACTATATTTATTAGGAGTAGTTATTTTGGAAAATACTATATTTATAACAACACTATATTTTGGAGGAACTACTTCCATCATAAATAATATTTCGTACGTAATAATATATGATGGAGTAGTATTGGAGATATTTGGCTTAAATGGGATGTTTGGATCTTATTTTTAAAACTGTTTCTGCTCCTTTAGAAAGCAGAAGCAGAAGTTGGAGTGTTTGGGTGGAAGTGCAAAAGTACTTCTAGTGCCCTAATTTACCCCTAAAGTGTATAATATAAAAGAAGTATGATGAGGAAAAATTAGGATGATCGATAATAAACTTAAAGAGAAGCCGTATATTAGCATTATGCCCCCTTACCCTCACATCTTGGCTCCATCCCTACGACCGATGATGGCGGGGAATATGCATCTGGCGAGCGACACTTCGTCATCGAAAATAATATCTCAAGGTAATGCTGGGAAATAACGTAAAGGTAGAACTGAAAATACTGATCAAACGAAACCTTTTTCATGTTTGGAATCTACAGGAGAGAAGAAAAGATGAAAAGAAGATGAGGAGGCAGTTATAGTTTCCCCTTCGCCGCTCCTCTTTCTACATAAAGTTGCAAAAAATTGATAAAGGTTAAATATATAAACTAAAAGAAAAATTAACAAGAATAATCTCACATTTCACTGGTCTTCTCATAATAATCTCACATTTACATAATTCTCAAAATAATCCCACCTTTGCACCCCATCTTCTTTCATTGGACCATGACCAGGTTTTTTACTCTTTCTTTGAAAATCATACAAATAATATCACCTTTCACTTTTTTATTATGTCTTTATAAATGTGAGATTATTTATTTAAGATTTTCAAAAAAAATGTAAAAAACCTGGTCAGGGTCCAATGGAAGAAGATGGGGTGCAAAGGTAGGATTATTTTGGGATTATGTAAAGGTGGGATTATTATGAGAAGACCAGTGAAATGTGGGATTATTCTTGTCAATGTTTCCTAAACTAAATGATTAAAAACAATTTAAGTTGATTAGATACCACAACCAATCTTTTAAATCCCTCCAAGAAATCGTCAATTCATTCTTGGCCGATGCTTGCCATTCTGATGCTTGCCATTTCGTATCCATGGCCTCGTCGTCATTAGCAAAGGTCTCATTCCGTTCTCCAACAGGGAGATTGTGTTCCTAGATTGTGTTCCGGCGGTCGTTGTCTAAGAATATCCTAGATTGTGTTCCGGCGGCTGTTTTGGCTTGGTCCGACGGAGTTTTCTTCTAGTTTTTTGTTGGATTAATCCGGCGTTCGTTTTGGATTGGTTCGGCAGAGGTTTCTTGCCAGCTTTTGGTTTGAATTGATCTGGCGGAAGTGCGTTTTGTTTCTTTTGGCAACGACATGAATGTGCTGGATCGGAATTGCAGGGGTATTAGCAAAGTAGCCACGACTCAGGAGTTGACAGATTTGGTTCCGACCCACGGCACGGGTGATGAACGGACGGGGAGAGATGAAGGGCTGAGCAAGGGAGAATACAAATCGGCAGTCCGTCCCCCTCCTGAACCGCCGCCTTGGATCGATCGAGATGCCAGGGTTTGGAAGATGATGTTTCAAGAAACCAGCCAGGAAAGAGTTTGGAGTATTTGTCAGTTATTTTATTTTTTATGGTCTTATTTTCGTGTTATGTTTGTTTACGGTGTTTCGTTTTTGTTGATGATTTTAGTTTTAGGTCTACAATAATGATTGTCAATTCCGCTAGATATTATGTCCTTAAAAGGATCTATATTGGTTAGCGATTCGTATTGCTCTTTCAAGGGTGGTCGTCTCAGAGTCTAGCCGTAGGGTTCATTGTGCTAGTTGGTTAGAGATAGGTGTTGTCAGGGTTGATCTATTACCCGAAATAAGACTAAAAAGGTTTGAAAATTCCAAAATAGGACTGCCATGTTTTTATTCCCAAAATAGGACTAATTACTGTCATGTTTTGGCAGTACCAGACTTCAAACATGGCAGTATTTTCCAAACTTGACAGTAATTACTTCTATTCTGGGAATAAAAAACATGTCAGTCCTATTTTGGAATTATCAAACTGTTTTAGTTCTATTTCGGGAACTTTTCCATGATTTTAATATAAGAGTTGGATTTGATGATAAAAAAACAATTTAAGTTGATTAGATAAATAGTGGACGTCAACCTTATCTTGGGATGGAGGTAGTATTTGCATTTATGGGTTGAGAAAACCGAATCAAAACCTGAAACCGACTGTAGCCTAGATCAAAAAATGTGGTTGATCCAAATTTTCTTATTTTTGGACGGCCCGAATAAAATATCCAGACCAAACCTGCAATTTATAATACCCAAGTCACTCCATATGAAATCAATATAACATATCATTACTCTTTAGAAATAATTCCTATATTACGTCAAGAATAAGCATGTTGAACTAAGAAAGCGATATAGTCAAAATGATATATAATCAATATCAATGTATATATATAAAAGAAGAACTTTTTAAGAGCATACGGCGCGCCACATAATCCTGCCATGTCATCATATATAACAATTATTTAATTACTTTTTATATCTTTTATTTTTTTTTATTCGATCATACATAATCTTGCCATGCCACAAAATCTTATGGATCTTCAATGGAATTCTCATCTTCAATAAGGAATATTCAATTTGATCACAACTTTACATATTTAGAACTTTGGGTACTCATTATTTTAAAAGTGTAGTTTTTAAAAAAGTTTTTTGAAAAGAGTGACAAAATGTCACTCTTTTCACTATTAAATTCTAATAGTGACAATATTACTTCACTTTTGAAATAGATTCTTAATCCAAATTAGGAAATCTCCATACATTTAGGATGTTTTTAATTGGACTGATTTCAATCCCAAACAAGATCGGATCAAACATCAATAATAATAATAACTATTATTATTATTATATACATAAAATAGACATCTTCTAGACCAATTACTTAGATTTAATTCATTATAGTAGAGTTAGACAATTTGACCAATTTTAGTATTATCAAACGGCTTTATATTAGACCGAGTTTATTTTACTTTTGCATCACATTTAATTATACTCCGTATATGATTTCGAAAACATCAAACTTACAAATAGCTAAATTATGTACTGCCCGTGCACCGCACGGGCTTAAAAAGAGTGAAATTTTAAAAACTACACTTTTAAAATAATGAGTAAAACCATTTGAATTTATCACTATATAATAGAATAAAGAAATAATTAAGCATATCATTCAGATAGAACTTAATCAATTTCAGCATAATCAATCAATTCGGTTAATTTATTTTTATCAAACGAGCTCTAGATTAAATTATTGAAGGGTGGTTTACTCTTTTTCTATTAAGGCTATGTTTGGCAGGCATAAGTCCCTACCTTCTAGCTTTTGTATTATTGAAAAAGTCTCTAAAAGCTCCATGTTGTATGTTTGGTATGATACTTTTAAGAGCTTTTCAAAAAATAAAAAGATCTTTTTTGAGATGCTACAGGGAGTAGCATCTGAAAAAAGTCTATAGCTTCTAGCATTAATTAGTCCCAACAGCTTCTATATCAAACAAAACTAAATCAAACAGGTAGCTTTTTACCAAACAACTACTATCTTTTACTTTTAAGAACTTTTCAGTCACTAAAAGATAACAGTTACTAAAAAGTTCATAAAAGTATCTTTTCAGCTAGTTGTGCCAAACATACCCTAACTATTGTCTGGATTAAGACGTTTGTGTAGGTGAAAATGTATATCGGGATAAAATGATATTTGTATATGAAATTGTTTATTTTGTATACTGAATAAACAGTCTGAATCAAGTCAAAAAATCAATTTAGTATTGTTCTTAGATTATAGTGTCAATGAAAAACTTCATTTAATAATATAAGTTTATTCCACAACCAATATTTATAAATCATATTTAAAAATTAGATAAATTACGTGTTGCCCGTGCATCGCACGGGCTTGAAAACTAGTCATCAATATAAGAGGAACTTTTTAAGAGCATACAAAGCGCCACATAATCCTGCCATGTCATTATATGTATTAATTATTTAGTTATTTTTATACCTTCTATTTTTATTAGCTAGATTCTATTTTTGATTACATATTGATATGGAAACAAAAATCCGTAGAAATCCACCTTAATTAATTTGGTAACTTTTTCAAAATCCATTACATATTTGATAAGTATTAAATTCTTTAATTTGAATCACAACAATTAATAACCAAATTTTAAGCACAGACTCATGGAGTAACAATCATTCAATTATTACATTCTATTAAAGAGATGAAATATTCATTTTTTGCCCACTTCACAAATAAATCAGCCAAATTGCTATTAATTTTGTCTTCACATTAATTTGATAAAAATACAAATGTAATAATAGTGTCTCATTTCCTAAAATGTAATATTTTATTTTTCTAAACTCAATGTTGAGATAATGATAAAAATTCTCTTTTTGAAAGAGATAATGTTTAAAATTCTAAACCCCGGATTTGCAATTGTGTTAATACTTCGCATTTTGCTCCATTTTCATACAATTCTTTCTTAATTATTAAAATAATGATAAAAATTATAACCACCATATAATTGAAATTAAAAAACGAAATTAAAACTATTACATATTCTAATATAGAATCTTAAAAAGAATACTTCTGATCAAGTTGCTTACCTTATTTAATAAGGATGAAAATTGATATCATACATAAATACATACATGTATGTATATTTTCACAAGTAAATACGTTTAGGCCTAGCAAAAATAAATAAATATGTTTGGTTATTTCTTTATTTTATAACTACAATTTAAATGTGCCTTCACTTTTGAAATACATTCCTAATCCAAATTAGAAAATCTTTCTATGATTACAAATTCCTACTTTTATTTTAATAGAACCTTTTTAATTGGATTTATTTCAGTTCCAGATTAAATCAGATCAAATCAAACTTTAATAATAATAATAATAGTAATAATAGTAATAATAATAATAATAATAAGTCACATAAAATGTAAAACAAACATCTTAGAGGACGTGAGATTATGAATTCTATAAAATCGGGTTCAGAACAATTATATTTACTTGAGATGCTTATGTAGAAGATCAATTCAACAAGTTTTCGTATAATCTTTTCTTGGCTTCATAAATGGAATACTCCGTATATTTTACATATTTTTTCATTCAGCCCATTCAGCCAGGATTTAATCAATTTCAGTAAAATAAGTTAATTTGATCTATCATAGTATTATCAAACAGACTATAAAGCTAAGTATAAATTAGACTAAGTTTATTTTTCTTTTAAATCATATTACATATGATCCAGAAGAAATCAAATTTCAAATTAACTAAAATACATAATGCCCGTGCATCGCAAGGGCTTGAAAGCTAGTACATAGATATAGGAGTACCGTGTATTTTCATCGAGTCTAGGTAAGCTAACATCCTTTATTTACTTACTTGAAATTATATATGAATGGAATATTGGTTAAAAATGTTTAGATGTGCATGTATGCATTTACGTGATGTTATTACTAATTTATATTATAACTAGTTATTATTTAGTCAAAGTGTTTTATTAAAATTTTAGATTCAGAGGAAATATTTTTATCGTCCGATCAAATCTTAGCTTGATATATAATCAGTCGAATCAAGAATAATATTATTTATTTATTTATTAATAAAATGGAATGTTAAGTACATATCCTCTAATCGTTAGTTACTGTATACTCCGTATATTTTAATAGTCACGTGCTTTTTGGCTGTTAAATTTTATACGTAGTATATGAAACTGAGTGATATACATGAATCTTTATTTGTAATTAAAATAAAAGATAAGTACTATTTTGGAAAAGGCCTTAAGTACTCTTGGTCCGACACTCCTGAAATTCTGTTTTAGAAGAATTAGTGTTCTCCTGTTTAGTGTACTATGTACACTCCTGAAATCTTTTTAGAGCACTATTACTCTTCTGTTAAGGTTCGAATCTCTTCGGTGATCTCGTCCTTTCTGTTCAGCTAGCTTCTGTTAGGGATTGATACGTGTAGCTCCGGCGATTACGTTTCCATATCCTTTCTGGGTAATGTGGGTACAGACTCCGTGACTGTATTCCTTACCATTAGTATCTCTCAGTCTAGGTCCAGATTATTGAGTTCAAGGCTAAAAGAATATGTTATTAATGATAAGTTTCAGAATAAGAATCTTCTGATAATTATGATATCTGAATATGTTTCTGATCTGTATATGGATAATATAACAATAGTCTCAGAATAAAAATCTTCTGATAATTATGATATTTGAATATGTTTCTGTTCTGTTTATAAATATTTAAATTCTTATAACAACTGCTCGGATCACCCAGGTATGTTATATGTTTGTCTGACTATATGTGAATTCTGAAATGTTTATATGAGCCCTGATATGTTAATATTATTGTTATTGTTATTACCGTACCACTCAGCACATTGTTGAGCGGGTAGTTGTTTGCTTTCCTACACGTAGGTTAAGCACGGAACCCGCTAGGAGCACTGGGATGGAAGGAGACGTAGGATTCATGTGCATACCATATGTGTATTGTTTATAAATAAACAAATAAGAAGCAAGTTTGATTTTAGACTTATCTGATCATTTTCATTTTGTAAACGCTTCCGCATATCTTAAAAATATTTTGTGTTGTATAATATTAAGTGATTTATGGCGACTTGATATTTCAGGTATCGAATAATAAGTTGATGTTTGAATAAAGATGATTTATTTAAATACTTAATTTTGTTTTAAATAATTAAAAGTCTTTTGGTTAAATCTGTTTTGATTCCTACCACGTGACACACCGCTCGAGTCGGCGGGGCCGGTTCGGGTAGGGACACATGTTCATTTTGTCCCGCACTAGTCTCGTACCGGTTTAAAACTAGACATGACTAACACATTGGAAGGTTGTCTCGAATCGTCTGATTTTCTTGTTTGTAATGACTATATAATTTTTTTAGTATGTGACTACTTTGTAGTGTCAAACCAAAAGGAAATGATATTACCATTTAAGTTTTTTAAATCCAATTTTTTAATTAAAAATAATACATAACCAAATATTTATTAACTTAGGTTTTTATCCCACTCTATATATCTGCGGTTTAGTATCTCAC